GCAGGAAGCTAGACAATTCACTCCGGTCATGAACAGGAGTATATACACACTAAGATTCATCAGAAGACTAGGCAGTTATGATTACAGGAAAGTAAACCAGGAAAGTAAGTTGACCAAGAATAGAGCACATCTGTCTCCTTCAGGACAGAAACCGACTCTGGCTTCAAGCATGTCTAATCCCAATTTCTTACGATAGCAGGAAGAGCCCTGAAGACCAAAAGACTTGTTCACAAGAGTGTGGTAAAATGTGCAAAGTCACTACCATTTTTATTTGAGTACTGTCTGTCAGCTGCTGCACGGTATAGGCATCTTCTGTGTTGTACTGCAGTAAAATCGCCATCTGGAATGTGGATGCCTAACAGATTCAAAAAAAGAGAATGAAGGGGAAATCAGAAAATGAGAATGAACTAACATACTTTCTGAATTTGAACAGCCTGAAATTCACCAGTTAAACTCATATACTGGAATATTTGGACAACAGAGAACAGCCAATTAGTGCTAATCGTTACAATACAGAAAAATCCAATGTTACTTATACAACCAGAACTCTGCCTTCCAGCATTATCTAGACATAAAATGTAATTATTGATTATGATTATTTAACTAGCTGCAGACACTTCATCATATCTTCTATTATGGTGTCAAAGCCTTATCTTTCTACTTGCTAATATAATTTTTAATTTTTTTCCTTTGTCACTCCCTGACTCTTACCCCTTTAACCTTCATTAAAACCTACACAGACTACTGAATTCATCCTCACAACCCTCCCAACTCCAGCAGAATAATGAAACCGAATTTATAAACAAGGCAGCTATCAGTGGCTTATTCACGTCTATCACCACGGGGTTAACATTTGTTGATGGCAAGTTCAAAGTCTGAGATTATCTTGTTTCTTCTCACTGTTGTGAACTCCTCTCCTCTGTCTTCTTTTTGAGAGAAAGCAGACACGAAAGTGTAAGGAGCATGAGATCTTATGCACAGAGGTTGCAGTTGTCTCACACAACGCACTTCAACGCCTGTTTGAACCACAAGTAATATATTCCCTTTTCTAAGTCAATTTTCTTTTAAACATATATCTTACGTATCATTACAGTAAATAAATCAAACATATAATAAAGGTTCTATTAATCATAACACCAACAACCACCTGGGGAGGACTAACATTTATGTTCACTTCAGTAATACACAGATCTGTAGCCATCAGCTCTTGTATCTGGGCTTTGCTTTATTTAAAGACAGTAGCATTATGCACAGGAGTAAAGCTAATGAATGCATGTGAGCATTGTAAATAGTAAACATATACGTGTGTGTATACATATGAACGTACACATCAATTAAGGAACTGAATTATTTAAAATACTTAATTGTGATACAACATTACATACTGTTAATGAATATTTTGACACACAAATAAAATACAGCTCTATTATTATCACCTATTATCTATTATGTATTATCTATTAAAATTAGCTTATGTGCAGACACAGGTATTCACATGAACTCTACTACTTCAACATCTACACACTTCACCATTTTAAACACATTTATCTGCACAATGGTCCTTTAAAGTAAGGAAAAACAATTATCTCCAAATGAGGAATAAAGAGGCTGAGCAGCTCATCCAGATAACATAAGAGAAATGGAGCAGAGCGTGAACGCATGTCTTTTAAATGATCAGCTGCATCCAGTCCTCTGAATGCAATCATCACCAAGTGTTTCTATTGGCATGACGTTATCCTTACCTGTAACGTGTACCTATTTTTGAAACAGTTGGTAACCAGTTCCCCTTTGGACAGCTGATATAACCATGTTAATTTTCGTCCACTATGACGACTGGCATAAAATGCAGTAAATCTCTGATAGCTCCGTTCTAACTGTATAAAAACAATAACAATAAATAAATAAAGAATATTATTTACCTTCATTTACCATTACTAGAACATGCTCTGGAACCAACAAAGGAGAATCAAATCTGATCACCCTCGACTGCCATGTTGTCTGAATAAGACAAACAGAAATCCAAAGTATTCAAATTCTTCAGACTGGATGAAAATTTCCCCTTGTTAAGAGTCTCCCCTTTAAAGTGTCATTAACAATACAAACCTAAACAAGCATTTAAGTTCCATTCTTCCTTTTATGATACATTAAGCAAAGCTAGAAAGGCGATTTCTTTTAACTACCTTCATCCTCCAGGTAACAGCAGTTAAACGTATTTCTCATGTTAAGTGTTCATGTCTTGTCTATTCTGGGTAAGCACTCAACAGAAAACTAATGATTATATAATATCTAAAGATTTTACCGGACAGAGCCAAACAAACAGTGAGAAAAAGTTTCTGAAATAAAAGTATACACAGAAAAATATGCTAACAAAGATTTGCTTCAGTTACTGTTGAATGTTTTGAAGAAAGATTCAATAACCAGGGTCTTTCCACAGCAGAAAACAGTTATGTATTTCACATATTTCCCTCCTACTACCTTACTCACGTATCTTGTTTCAAATATCCTCCAGCCAAATAGGCAAGCACCACAGAGACATTCCAGTCCTCTCTGACACACAACAAAACAGGAGGAGACACCAGCCTTGTAAAACCAATTTCTCGCATGATCATTCCACGTTCGGAGGAACCAAGCGCAAGCGCCTCACCTCAGATGGCAGAGCAAACGTGCAGGACTGCTGGAACGGCCACGACCCAGAACTCAGAACCTGGATGCTGAAATCCACTGGAAAAGAGGTGAAGGCACATCAGGAGGCTGAGCTGCATTATCCCCCTTGCTCCCACGCCCTCTTCAAACATGCAGTCCCAGTTCTAACACAAACAAGAAATGGTTCTGCCTTCGCAAACTTACATGGTGAAAAATCATTAAGCAATATATATTTTTTTCATTCAGACCATAAAACAAAAGGAATTCACGTAAGATGTCGCTGCAGTTGGAGAGCTTTAGATTTACTGTGACAGTCACTCAATTTTCTCTCATTTGTAGAAGTTATTACCCTGCTTCTACCCCCACAACGAATTTCTCTTTTAACATGCAAGTGTAAAAATTGTAAGCATTCATTTTTACGTGTAACTAAAACTCATGACTCCACAGTACACAACTGCAAGAATAAACATTTCACATTTATACTTGTAAGGCATTTTGGGCAAGTCAGTAAAAATAATACAAAACCTAAGTAAAATTTAAGCCTGACAATACGCAACTCTAAATGTAATCCAACAAATAACTATCAATTCTTTAAAGAATTTGTTTCAATGTGCTTCAACGAAAAAAAATATTTCTTTACAAAAAAGTGATAGGGCTGTCTAACAACCTAAAACACAACACTCTTTTTTCCTTAATACTTTTACACAGGTATGAACTTAAGCCATGTTGTGCTCAAAATCAAAACTGTTAAAACAAAAACATCTTTCCAATTTAAAAAAAAAAAAAAAAAAGGAAAAGAAAAGACAGGATTCAACTTAATTTAATTACATACCCAAACATGAGCTGCAAAATCAGGAGGAGGCTACCATAATAGAAGATATAAACTGCTATTAGAAGACAAAGTACAGACCTAAAAGACTAATTTGGTCTTTTGACCTAGCTACCTTGGTCAAAATAATACTAACTTATTAACTCTAACTTCTGGGGATACGATGTCTAAATCAAATATTTCCCTCATATAGTTAGCTCTGTAGAAATAAGAGGAAGCTAAACTGCTCAATAGTAATTTAGGTAAATGTATTACTTACAATCTAACGGTTCTGAATTGGTCAGGTGCTTTTTAAATTGCTCATTCAAGTCCTTGCTTACACCAATATCTTGGAACATCCGCTGCAGCTTGGAGGTATACTCAAAACCACAAGCTTGCTGTATTTTAAAAGCACAGATACGTCAGCAAGACACATTTTTGACATTGGAGAATCAGAAGAACAAAGTATCGAAGCCTATTTTCTTAAAAGAAGATGCACAAAGTTCAGTATTTCCCTTACTCAAAGTACTGATCCCAAGCAGACATGCTCTCTAACTGTCATCAAAAACTGAAGAAAATTTTGTTTAAAAATGAAGCAAAACACACAACGAAAACAGACTACTAAAAGAGTATTAGATTGTATTTTGCTTGACCCTGAATGAACAAGGGTTAATGAAATTAAGCAACTTTTCAGTAGTCATTCCCTTGGATAATTATATCTATGTAATTCATTTGGATAAGTATAATTAAGCTTAACTCCATCTGAACTCCATCAGACAGACATGTATCTACAAGCTCCTAGGAGATTACAAAAAAAAAAAAAGGGGGGGGAAAGACTTAGGTTGTGTATTTTTCTATTGTAGATAAAATAATGAAATGAAAGGACATACATCAATGCTTTCCAAGGCAGCCTGAAGACCTGCAATATGGTAGATCATGGGACAGTCATGGAATACTCACTTTTAGTTTAGAGATCATGCTTGCCTCAGCATCATCACTAGCACTGTTCTGATGTACAAGTCTTTTTGCCAGCATTTTAGCATAGAATTTTTGAAATACATCTTTATCCTCAATGTACTTGAAGACAACCATCTGGAAAAGCCAAGATAATTTGTCAGAAAAAAAATATTTAATATTTGTCTTGAAAAAGCTGTAGCAGTAGCTACTTCATTTGCATGTAAATTTTTAAGTGCAGGGGATTCTGGTTTTTTGGGGGGGTGCGTTTGTTTTAAATGTGGATATTATTTTAAACACATTAACTGTATATTCCACATGTACAGCCTTATATATGAATAAATACGTAATGTGTATATGTTATTATATAAAAATATATTGTAGAAATTATATATGTGTATATAAAAATGAAGTAAAAGCATAAATTCCATTTAGCCACTTAAAATCGGCTGTAAAGGGCTTTTTTTTTTTTTTTTAATTAAAAAAATACAACCAACAAGCCACACAGAGATGAAGATTATTACTGAAAAGCTGAAATATTAATGAAATCAAACATACAAAAAAAAAGTTTTCTCTCATCTGACTTGTGTGACAATCGAATATTAAACTTGTCAAAGGTTACACAGAAGAGAACGTTATTTATAGACATCTTACCACTTGATTGAGTGTATCTTCCAATTCTGCTTCTTCTGGATTCTTTGAGCTGCAATTAAAGAAGTTCATTTTTAATGAGTCCCAAAACTGCTAAATTAAAACAACATATGGATGTATATGGAAATTTCATAAATAAAGGAACACAGATTGAGTAGTTTTGGGATCAAAGACTGTTTAGATAGGAAACATTGTAATGAAATGAACACTTCTCTTCACTACTCCACATGTAAGCAATTCTGAAGTACATGATTTATAAACAATAGGTTGAAGTCCTGGACCATGAATTGCTAGGGACTTCCTGATAGCCTGATACTTCTCAGGATTGATGGGCTTAAATATGGATCTCTCTCTTCCTGCCTTTTTTCTGCTGCTAAATGATATCTTCATTTCTTATCTTAGATAGTACTGTGAAAAGAAAACAGCTCAGAGAGCTGGGTCTTGACTGGGTGAGAGCTCAGATAGCACCACATTGTTTTCCTCCATATCATACTTGTCCATCAGGCATACCCCAAATCTACCCTGCAGAAAGCTAGTATTTATAAAGGGGAAAATAAATCCTTTGCTGAAGGAAGGAGGGGATGGGGAAGGGAAAAGTGAGCAAGTTGTTCTGGTTTTGGGTTGTTTAGTGCTGGATTTTTTCCTCCCCTAAAACAGCTAGAAAAGTTGCCAGTGACAAAACTGACACCAATCCAGTATGAACTGAACTGATACCAACTCAATGTATGAGCTGCTGAATGATTTGAAGCCAAATACCTTAACTAAATTATGAACCACGAGAGGTTAAAAAGCAGTTTTTGTCCTCCTTGGTTTCTGCCCAGATGGAAGAAGATATAGAGAAAACAATAGGAGGAAAGCAAGAGTTTTAATGGAAAAAGGGAATGTGTGTCTCTTCTTTACAACATATAACACAACTCAAATTTTGGAGGAAAAAAAACCCCTAAAAAACCCTTTCTGTTTTATTACAAAAAATAGAACTTAGTTTCCTATAGAAAAGAAGGGTCTTAGATCTTTTTTATTTCCCTCTCTTCTTTAAAAAAGAAAAGTAAACTCCATATAATCTTTAGGATCAGTCCTACTGAAATTTTTGTATCCAGAATTTGGTATAACTAATTTTTCTTGAAACGTTAAGTTCTGTTTCTGAAGACACAATATAAAACTTCATATGCTAAAACCTTTTAAAACAAAAGCCAACCTGAAATAGTAATTTGTCTTTGTAGACGTACCTTTTCTTTAGTAAAGAGTCACAGTATCGTGCCAGTAGCTCTGGGGATTTACTGGATGATTGAGCCATTTTTGTCACTGCATTATTATTTATAAATCGACCACAAGCCTATAAATCACAAAAGACAGTGAAATTTTGGGAGACAAAACACTGAATAGAAAAAAAATGTTCACCGTATGCCACTACATACTTACTTTGTCTAGTGCAGCCACAAAGCCAGCATCATTGTTGAATGCAGACATGACTAAAGCATTGTATTTCTTATGGACATCCAACACTGTCTGTACATACATTTTTGGATCCTGCAATAAGGAGAAATTGTTTTTTGCAACCTGTTGTCTTTCTGCTTTCTACTGCCTCCAAAATGGAGCTACTCACTGGCCTAAGCAAATTTTTATGGGGAAAGTTTACAAAGTATTAGAAATATTTTAAAGGTAAAATAGTATCCAGACTAGTTTAGGTCCTATGTCCAGGACTGACTTACATTAGCACAACCTTTCATTTACAGCAACCAGAGCACAGAATGTACTACATTATATAGTACAAAAGACGACAAAACCACTTACTCAACCATTGCAAACATTTCCAAGAAGGACATTTTCAAAGACATAAGCTTAATTCAAATCAGACCTGAGAGAGCTGGACAATCATAAAATGGCAGTTGCTATAGAAGAAACCCTCAAAAATAAGTCTCTGTAGTAAGAATGAAACAGATGTATCCCCAATAGGAACAACTTAGTACAGAGACCTCAATCATTGTTGACAGTTCTTAAAAATTATCTGCTCAACACCCAGTGGCAGCCAAATGCCAATAAACATCAAGTTTATGGCACTCACAGACTGAGTCCTATGCGCAATTACTGATCTCTGCATCTCAATAAAGATGGAGTGGAGTCAGAGTAGGAACTGTGAAGGGCCACTAAAACACCAGGCAGACAGGGCAGCTACTAT